ATTAAAATAGATGAGATGAGATCTCTTCTGCAGACGGTTGAAAACCAAGGCTGGCAATGTGTAACGTCAGTCGACAGATCCTAATACTCAGATCTCTCGGCAATGAAAGGAATACTTATCAATGCAGGAAGGAGGAAAAGAGAGCAACGAACTCGGTGCATGATAAACCGCACCGTGTAGTAAGCAGCATTAGTGCAGAAAACACCAGTAAAAGAGATAAAGAACAAGCCGAAGCCAAAACTACAAGTGGCCCGCGCTTTGCGGCGTATAACAATAAACATGTCATAAAATTCTATTTGTGAGTTAGGATAAATTAATTTTTTATTGCATTTTTTGACTGTCAAATTCTTACTTTATATTTTGATTTTATAAAATTTATTAAGAAACAGATACCACTTTGTCTTTGTGAAAGATTTTGAGATTCTTATTAAACGATTTACCATCTACATACTTTGTTTGATGTATTTTAGGTAATTGAAATAAATAATTTTAAAATAAAACTTATAAAAATACTCATAAAAAGTCAAAAATAAAATCACCAAAATATTCTCAATATATCTTCTTATAATTTAAATATACTATTATTATCAAGTTTTTAATTTAAACCATTTTGTCATCTCAAATGTGTGCTCTACAGAAAGATGATTTTATCATAGCATTTATCAACCAACTAATGAAAGTATATTGTAATAAGTGTTGAAAATGAAGTATATCTTAACTTTTGGTGTAATTAAAGTTTCTTAGTTTTTTAGTTCTTAAAAAAAGAATTACATAATTATTTAAAATACCATGTTAAAATTTTAATTGATATGTATTTAACTTGTTAACTTCACTTAGTGGGAGAGGTATGAGTCGATTTCTATGTGCCATAAAGCTATATATAATTGGTGTCTTGTTTGTGCAATTGATTAACGGGGCAATCATAAGAAAAGAAAGTTTTATATGGGGGCTCATTTGCATTGATCAAGATCAACTAATAATAATCATTATTATTAGTTTCTATCAATTCAGGCAAAGAGTACGTAAAACTATGTTTATGTTTAGAGAATTCCTTAATTTCATCGATCTTCAGTTACAAAAGTAGTATTTTCAAGGAAAGGCATCTTGCTGGATCTATCTATCCAAAACAATTACATATATTTTTCTTATAATAAAAGGAAAGTATATATCTTGGAACGAAACAATCACCCATTAGTTAAAACTTAGAATACTAAACTTGAATTTCATTTGTAACTAATCAATGTAATTGTTTTATTCTTTGTTTGGTCTGCACACAGAGATATAGCTCATGCAATTACCCAAACAAAAGAATTTCAATCTTCCTAATAATAATATCATTATTATCAGTTTTATTCTTTGTTTACTCTTAAGATATAGCTCATGCAATAACCCAAACAAAAAAAATTCAATCTTCCTAATTACTTGACATTTGTTTAGCAGGGTAACTCCATATCTCTTAGCTACACACGTGTAATATTCACTCCATACAACAAATGGTATCCAACCAATTAGACTTCCTTCCTCTTTCCTACTACAACCTCTAAGATCTAGTTTCCAAAATGTGACCCATTCTTACTCGTATAATCCCACAAATCCTAGAGGGAGAAGAAGATGATCGAGATGTTTGCAAGAGCAAGTTTCACCTTCTTGAGTCTCTGCATGCACAAATTTAAAGCAGCTAGCTGAAGGAATAGGAGCTGAGTTTCGAAATTGGAGGTGGGCTGGGTTTTGAAATTCAAAGAATGAGTTACTTTGCATGAAGCCTGAAAAGTACTGGTGCTTGGAATTTCTGTGGTTACTCCGTCGTCATTCAACTTCGTCGGAGTAGGAGAAGCATGCAAGAGTTAATCATGGTGGTGGATTGGGGTTTCCAATGTCAACGGGTCGGCCCAGAGAGAAGAGGTGTCCATCTCCCATGGCTTCAATTTTTGTCGCCCAACCTCGATTTGCATTTGCATGGTTGTTCAATTTTTTGTCATAATTCTCTCTGACTTGCCTCGCCACCATCGTGTAGGGGAAATGGGGAAATTTCTTTTGGGAATCGGTGAATTCCGATGAACTCCCTTATGTAATTTCAAGCGGCAGCAATCTGCGGCGGTAGTCTGCCGAGATGTGGCTATTGATTCGTTGGGGAGATGCTGGGAGAGAAGAGGTAGCCCAGCCAAGCGGTTTTACAGCGGTAGTGGCACTTTCCTAATCGCCAGCCGTTCGACAAAGGGGACATAGGAGGAGAAAGTAGAAATTTACGGTAGATGGGAAAAAGGTGTAGGGTACTTATGGTAAACTTCCATGTATCCTACTGGACCCCTTATACCAATTAGGCGCTATTTATATTATAATAATTCTGCTAAGAAACAGTAACCAATTTCTGGACAAGCTACAAATGCTATGGACTGTTATGTTGGACCCTGTCTCTCAACATGCACAAGAACAGCATCGAAAAGTAAATGGTGAAGAAATAGTATGCAGCAAACACGGTTCAGAGTTTAAGACTGTTCCTAGAGTCACTAACAGTGCTGCTAACAGAGTGGCACTTAAAGCATTGCTAATTTGTTATTGTTTCTCCTAGAATTAGTCTTTCGATTTTATTGACTGGCTTCATGAGGATGTCATTTTTAGGAGGTTACTAGGTAGTTTTGTTTATATAACTCTTGTCCTCTTTATCACTCGCAAATAAATAAAAAAACACTACTAAAAAACTGACACACTAACTACTAAAAAGACCTTATATCGCCCTTATATAAAAATTAATAATAAATAAAAAGTTAATAGCATTTTATGCCCTCAAATTAACAAATATACCCCTATACTATTTTTTTCACAGATGTGCCTTCTATTATTGATACGTAACAAACATATCATTCTATCAAGATTTCTGTTACGTAGTTTAATTTTCATAATTTTAAAAGTAACAACAACTATTCATTTTTATCTTTCATTCTTTTGCCTCAGTCGTAAATCCCTAATTCTTACCCTCCCCTTTGACTATCGAGCATCTCCTCTTCTTCATTTACCCCGGCCGCTCAGCGCCGTTAATCGTCATCTTCGACAACACCGACCCCACATAATCCTCCACTGCACAGTTATACCTCCAACACCGCTACTCCACTGGCACTTAATTGTTCCTCGGCGGAGGCAGGAGCAGACTTTGGCGGGTGTCAACAATGAGCACAAACCAGTTCCAAATTTCAAAGGTCGGAGACTTCGGTGGGATGACTATCCCAGATTCTCCCTGCTCCGCCAATGGCAGAGCCTTCTTCCCCAACCCCTCTTATCGGCTGCGGCCCCAAATTCCATTTTGAAACCCTTAATTTCTGTGAACCTAGAAATTGCATTAAATCATCCTCACTTTCAATATATTTGTTACTTCGGCATAGTGTGGTTTTGGTGATTGTTTGGTTGAGTTGTATATTGTCCATAATGCGTCGTTTTTTTGAATTTTCTACACAAACAATACATGCATTGTTTGTTTGATTTGACGCAAACTATCACTTAAAATGAGTGATAATTAAATTTGAGATTGTTGTGCTATCTTTTTATGTGTTGCTTTTTTATATTATAAATAAGGGTTAATTGCAAGGATGGTCACTAGGTTTACTAAAACCGTTCATGTTTGGTCACTGCAAATATTAAATTCCATTCATGGTCACTACGATTAGTTCAATAGTTCAAGTTTGGTCACTCTCCGTTAGTCTTCGTTAGTTTTTGCTGATGTGGCAGTCAACTATTATAGTTGACCGTTAAATGAGTGACGTGGCCATTAAAAAAATAATAAAATTTAAATATTTACAATTTCCACCTCATTTTACAACTATTAAAAATAAAAATAAAACTTACCTCCTCCCCAACGCGGTCGCCACCACAGATCTCCGATTCAGCCTCCTCTCCTCCAACTCCTCCCCCGCGTTCACGCTCTTGGCGCCCCCATGTGATTAGAAGACTAATTTTTCGCTCAGATCTCGCGAATGAACGAACATGGAGTGAAGAAACCAAAAAAAGAAAAAAAAGGCAAGGTACCTGGAGAGCGAGCTGACGGAAGGCCTTTTTGACCTCGGATTCGGAGGCTCCAGGCTGGATCCTCAGCGTCTTGTAAGGATCCATCACCTAATAGGAAGACGAAGCAACACACAACATCCGCGACGAGTTCTGATTCCTTCCGGTGATAGTATTGTTCCTCGCCTTTCTCCGGCTACGGAACCAGGACGTCGAGGAAGATCCGCCGCACCCGCTCCCTCCGATCATTCCCATAGCCGCGGCCGTGCTAGCCATTTTTTCCCGATGAAATCAAAACCTTAGAGCTCGCGAACCAAAGGCAGAAGGGAAAAAAATCGAGAAGTAGTGAGCAGAAATGAGGACGAATGAATTGGAAAGGGCGGGCAGGCGTTGAACTCGGTCAACGGGTCGGGTTTCGCGTGGAGGGAGGTGTGGCCGGTTATCGGGGAGAAGCTGGGGGTGGCGGTGCCGGAGGAAGCTCTAGCGCCGGAGGAGTTTAGGTATGCGGCGGCGATGGGCGAGATGGAGGGGGTTTGGGATGGGATTGTGGCGGAGGAAGGGCTGGTGGCGACGGAGATTGGGGAGCTTGCGGGCTGGGAGCGGTCAGGGGGAGCGAAGAGCGTGAACGCAGGGGAGGAGTTGGAGGAGAGGAGGCTGAATCGGAGATCCGTGGTGGCGACGGCGTTGGGGAGGAGGTAAGTTTTATTTTTATTTTTAATAATTGTAAAATGAGGTGGAAATTGTAAATATTTAAATTTTATTATTTTATTATTTTTTTAATTGCCACGTCACTCATTTAACAGTCAACTATAATAGTTGATTGGCACATTAGCAAAAACTAACGAAGACTAACGAAGAATGACCAAACTTGAACTATTGAACTAATCTTAGTGACCATGAATGAAATTAAATATTCGCAGTGACCAAACATGAACGTAAACCCAGTGAGGCAGTGACCATCCTTGCCATTAACCCTTGAAAATAAAGAATAAAAGTTACATTTTATCAACTATGCACCAATATATGACCCCAACAAGGAATCATATGCATTTTATTATCATAAACAGGCAAGCAGCAATACTCCTTAGCAAAGCAGTCCCAAGTTCTCACAAAACAAAAAACATCACCACACCAATAAGCTAAACTTCCACTTGTCCTCAAGACGATGGAGTAGAACTGGGGGTCACTGACCTAGAAACCGATCTAGAACTAGCAGCCAGACTAGAAGTGTTGGAACTCCTATCTCGGCCATAACTACCTTCCGAAGACCAACTGGAACTCTCGGATGATACACTTTTCCTCGAGCTCCTCCTTGCTGCCGGTGAAACACTTGGGGAGTAGCTCCTCCTCCTCGAGTATGAGTACCTTCTCGGGCTTCTAGAAATACTTCGAGAATAATGTTCCCTTCTGGATCGCCTTATTGGGCTGCGGGAGACGCTGCTTGTATAGTTTCTCCTTGAACTCCTCTCCCTCTCAGAAACATAGCGAGAGTGTCCTCGTCTTCTTCTTTCATACCGATCATCTGGTGAGCTATATCGTGAATCATAAGGTGTGTAAGATCTGTCCCGTCTCCTGACGGAGGAGCTACTGTAATGTGATGGAGATCTTGAGTAAGATCTTCTGCGTGCATAGTAATACACTGGTGGTGAACGAGAGTAGGATCTCCTGCGCCTGTAATAATAAGCAGGAGATCGAGAATACGATCTTCGAACCCTGCTGTGGCGACGAGAATAAGATCTGCTCCTACTGCGATCAGATGAATAAGATGTAGACCTGCTTCTGCTTCTGCTTCTGCTTCTCGGATAAGGAGAATAACTTGGGGACCGACGAGGAGGTGAGGTGCTAATGGTTCTCCTTCGCACTGCAGAGTGAACAAAAGCTTATGTAATCCAATCTAAAAGCATCAACTTTAAACAACCTCAAGATAATACAAAATCAATAATAGTTGTGCTACTACCAGTCATACCATGCACTGTGCGAAGTCCCAGATACCTTCCAGGAGTAGGAGTTCTGCCTCTCCGCCTCTTTGCCTGCAATTAGTTACCATGACAAATGAGTGACGAAATTAGCAATACACACATACACAGCGAGAATAATGAAGGAGAAGGGCCTTTCTTCCCCCTCCCCCAATAATGTCTCTTCTAAAAAATTACAGAATAAACGAAAAAACAGATAAGCTAAAGCGCCAAAATGAGGAGAGAAATTAAGGGCATACAACCCTAACACAGTCTGACATTGCTGTTGTGTTTGATTTGTGTTGTGTTTAGTTGTGCTATTTGAATTTGGAGAAGAGCTGCTACACACAGCTAACCTGTTGGCACAAAAGCTTCACACGGAAAAAGGAGCAAACAACTTTCAAAGTCATAATAGCTAATAAGTAACACCATCCAGAAAACTCAGCACCGAGACTCAAGATTTAGTTTGCTATATACAGACGTTGAGCATCAGGAACAGACGGCAGCAAACTTTACCTTCTCCACTGTTATCACACGACCTTCAAGCACTGATCGATCCAAATACTTAAGGCAGCGCTCAGCTTCCTCAACTGTAGACATCGTTATAAACCCAAAACCACGAGAATCCCTCGTCCATGGATCAACAACGAGATGAACATCAGTCACCTATCCATGTCAAATTGACAGGGTGACGATAGTTAGAACTGTGGACTGTAACGAGCTTATGAAGCTAACAAAAACTACCAATTGGGTGTCTTCTTCCATGATAACTAGGGTGCTTTACATACCTTTCCTTCAGTGGAGAAGTGCTTCTCAAGGTCTCTCTTTGTGATACGAGGCGACAAGCCTGTCACATAGAGATTGTTGCCAGGGTTCTCCACAGAGGGGCTCCTGCGAACCACAATGTCACCGTTAACCTCAAGACTTCCCGAGAAAACCATTCAATTGAAAGCAGTTAAACCGACCCACTGCTGTAATTACCTTGATCGGCTTCTTGACCTTGACAAAGACCTGGACACAGATCTGCCGTATCTCTTGTACGGCGACGGCGAGCGAGAATAAGTTGATCTCTTAGAGTAAGACATCTGAGAAGGAAGAATAAACAAATGTCTCATGCATCAGCCCCGCATGCACCAAAACCAGAATGGTTTACAGAACACCAAAAAGTTCGAATCCTTCCGCTACAATTGTCGAGCGCGAATGGAATTCGGTAAAACCAACAACAACTAACTCATCCCTACCATCTAAATTGGCGCTCATCATCATCGTGATGAAAGTCGTTTACTGACAAATGGAAAAAACCTTAAATCCATCAATCCATAATCCTTATCATGCAAATTCAGAAACTCTTTTTTTTTTTTTATACAGAATTCAGAAACTCTTTAATGTTAAAAGAAGGAATTCTCATTCCAGGGGAGAAAACCCAACGTTCAGCTACGCAGGAAAAAGAAAAATCAAACCGCCATGAATTTAAGGGACCCAAATCTATCATGGCTTTGCAACTCGAATAATCCCTACAAGAAAATGAAGATGAAACGAATATCTTGATTCCACAGCCGAGATAAAGAAATTATCTAAATGGGATCGTCGACGTACCGTGGCCAGGAAAGCAAGCGATCGACGTCCAACGATTCAGCGATCTCCGGGAGAAACCTATTCAAAAGCGCAGGCCAATCAGATAACTTCTTTTAAGTTGTGAAGAGGGCGAGAGGCTTATATTTAACCAGAAACCGGGACGTGAGATATCGGAGATGAGAAGCTTCTGGATAGATGGTAAATGACGAAACTATCCTGGCCTGGCTGAGGTGGCCAGTGTCAGGGTGCTGTAAGCTTGTGGGTTTTTATGGAAATATATAGATGGAAAAGAATTTACGGCAGGGACTTTTTTTTCCACCAAACACGTCATTTGTGCTTGTGGAGGCGGAGGATAAATTCCACAAATTGTCTTTTTACAACATTTATCAGCAATATATTCAGATTACGGGTTAATTGCATGGTTGGTCATTGAGATTACAAAAAACGTTCAAGTTTGGTCATTTGAAATATTTAAATCCATTGGTGGTACTTCAGTTTACTGAAACCGTTCACGTTTGGTCACTCTCCGTCCAACTCCGTTAACTTTTGCTTAGGTGGCGGTCAACTCTAAAAGTTGTTAAATGTGTGACGTGGAAATATAAAAAAAAATTATTTTTTTAAAATTTCGACCTCATTTCCAACTATTAAAAAATTAAAAAAATTAATTAATTATTAAAATTAATAACAAACCGCGAATACTCTCTTCTCCGCCGTTGCGTTCTAGATATAATTAACAGATTCCCCTAAAGAATCTCAATGGCGGCCGCCGCTCGAGTTCACAGTCTTCTCTACGGAGGACCTCCGCCTCGACGAAAGAATGAACTCATAATCCCAACCCAACCCCCGAAGTGGGCATACGGTTCGGTAAAACCGAACCTAACCGAACCGAATATAAACCGAACCGAAACCGAATTATTGTTATTCGGTTCGGAATTCGGAAGAGAAAAGGGCATATTTCGGAAATCAAGGTCCTTTCGACCGAACCGAATTTCCGAATTCCGAACCGAAAAACCGAATTATTATAATTGCAAGCTTTAAATGGTGGATTTTTATGTTTCTACTTATTATGAGACTTAAATATTTGAATCATGTTAGTGTTTTATGACTTATGTATTGAAATGTTTGATTTTATCATTGATGATGCATATTTATTGTTCACATTATGAGTGAAAAATAATTTAAAAAAGAGAAGATACAAGCTAACCTCACTATTTCGGTTTTGTATGAAAAACCGAACCGAACCGAATTATAATTCGGTTTGAACCAACCGAACCGAATTATAATTTGCTTCGAATTCGGTTTGAAGTTTGCTAGAATTCGGGGACCCGGTATGCATAATTTTGGTTCGGTTTGAACCGAACCGACCGAATGGCTACCCCTACCCCGAAGACCAAGCACGGCAGACTAAGATAGAGAAGGAAGAATCACCAGCACATCATAATCCCCCGTATCATTCATTCGCAAGTAAACCCTGGACTCAAAACCAAAGAACAATCCCTTAAAAAAAACCTTCGAAGAACAAGCATGACAGAGTAAACTAGAATCACTAGCACATCATAATCCCCTGCACCATTCATTCGCAAGTAAACCCTAGACTCAAAACCAAAGAACAATCCCTTCAACCCCCCCCCCCCCGAAGAACAAGCATGGCAGAGTAAACTAGGGAAGGAAGAATGACCACAACATCATCATCCCCTGTACCATTAATTCGGGCCGACATGAAGGGAACCGCCGAGCCCAAATTAGGGTCTTGATAGGCCGCCACGGCGGCCTTGGGCTTCCCGCCGGTGTAGTTGAGGTACTTGTCGTCCGGCTGCCAGCTCCGCCCGTCGTCGCCGGTTTCCTCCTCCGTGGCGCCGCATGATATGATGTATGATGCCGCCTTCAGCGGGATCATTGGAGGAGGAGCTTCCTCCTGCGCGCTGGCCGTTATTAGTAACGTGATCAAGAGGATGGAGAATAGAAGAAGACATGTTCGATATTTCATGTCTCTAAAAGAACGGAATAAGTATTGGCCGGAAAATGAAAATGAGGAACAACGGAGAAGACTGTGAACTCGAGCGGCGGCCGCCATTGAGATTCTTCAGGGGAATCTGTTAATTATATCTAGAACGCAGCGGCAAAGAAGAGAGGATTCGCGGTTTGTTATTAATTTTAATGATTAATTATTTTTTAATAGTTAGAAATGAGGTGGAAATTTTACAAAAATAAATTTTATTTATTTAATTATTTTTATATTGCCACGTCACACATTTAACATTCAACTTTTAGAGTTGACCGCCACCTAAGCAAAAGTTAACGGAGTTGGACGGAGAGTGACCAAACGTGAACGGTTTCTGTAAACTGAAGTACCACTAATGAATTTAAATATTTCAAGTGACCAAACTTGAACGTTTTTTGTAATCTCAGTGACCAACCATGCAATTAACCCATTTAAAAACTATTAACATGTATATTGTATTTTTTTAGGAAAACAGCGACCCGTCTGAGACTCAGGCGCGGCCGCTAGTTATTGATTTTTTAATAAATTCCAGCGGCGACGCCCGAGACTGGGGCGTTGGGGCCTTTTATAAAGCTTCAGCGTTGGCGCCCGAGACTAAGGCGGGTTCGCTGGCTCCCTCATCCACTCCAGCACCATTTATACTCACATTTCCTTCAGTTCTTCACCACCAAAAAAATCAACGAAGTTTTAGACAAGAGAAGCTATGGTTGCTCTCTAGTTGCTGGGAAGATAGCTAATAATAGGTAAGAGACGTGTTTATTTTTTTAATTATATTCTTCAAATGCTATAATGATTTTGTTTAGTTAGTAATTAGTGAGTTTGTTTATGTGGTGGTTTTAGAAGATTTGAACTAGATGTTCGGTGAAAATCAGAGAAAGTAGAGGACAATTTGGGCGTCCATTTTATTGGCGGTAGAAGTTTACAGTTGACTGTTCCATCCAGAGTGAACTATCAGAAACTTTGTGATAATCTACTTCAGAGAATACGACGTAAAGACGAAGTAGTACAAGATAGTGATGTGATTATAGGTTTCACTTACTGTCTTCCAGAATGGCAGAATGGTGTTTTATTTCATTATGCGATGCCTATTGTGGATGATGATAGCTTGAATGTGCTTTGGAATTTTATGGCACAAAATCCTTATTGTTTGGGTCCTGAGATACATGTTAAGCTCAGTGAGGATCAGGGTGGAGAGAAAAAAAGATGACACATGGAGCGTGCCATTCGATCATGACTATGATGACGGTGATGACAGAGAGGAGGAAGATGATGATGATGATGATGATGATGATGATTGATGATGATGATGATGATGATGATGATGATGATGAGGAGGAGGAGGAGGAGGGAGAACAACCTAATTATCCTCTATATTTTTACTTGCAGGGTAATGAAGAGGACGACGAATTATCAAATATTGATTCATATGGCGTAATTCAATGCCTATTGTTGCTGGTTTTGATGGAGAATTCTACAAGAGGCAGATATTTCACTCGAAACAAGCTGCATAGGTGGCGATTAAACACTATGCACTACAACGCAACTTTCAGTATAACGTGATGGAGTCGTCACCTTCAGTCTGGAAGATCAATGTTTGAAGCACAAGGATGAAAATTGTTATTGGATGGTGCGGTTTGGATGTCGAGATGTGGAAAGCGAATGGACGGTGAGAAAGGCCGAGTTGGTGCATTCTTGTAGCAGTACGACTCAAGCGACGAATCATCGTCATCTTGATGTCGACGTTATATCTGAGTTTGTGAAACATTTGGTACGCGCCCAACCAAATCTGAGTGTTCTAACTGTGCAGGCCGAGTTGAAAGATAAGTTTAATACGCAAGTTACTTACAAAAAGGCTTGGTATGGGAAACAAAGAGCATTGGAGTAGTTGCATGGGAATTGGGAAGAATCCTACGATTATTTGCAAACATTCTTGCGGGTGGTAAAGAGAAAAATGCCAGCATCGGTGATTGATTGGGTAAGAGTTCCTTCAGCTCAACCATGTCATTCAATATTTCAGCGAGTATTCTGGGCTTATGGACCTTGTATAGATGGATTCAAGAATTGTCCAGGAGTCATGGTTGTTGATGGAACATTTCTTAATGGAAAGTATAAAGGAGTGATACTTATGGCGAGCTCATTTGATGCCCAGAAGAAGATTTTTCCAATTGCATTTGCCATAGTGGAGAGCAAGAATACTGATAGTTGGCCATGGTTCATAAGAAAAGTTCAAGGTTTGACCGATCGAAATGATGTATGTATAATCTCATATAGATATGCAGGACTCTATGAAGCCATGAATAACATCAGAAGAGGTTGAGAGCGGAGGTGGTGCATGCGGCACTCTGCAAGCAACTTGCAAAGGAAGACTAAAAGCAGGATCATGTATAATCAACTTTTTCGAGTTGGTAAGCCTTCATTGTTATGGTTATTTATTGTTATGTATTATTTATTTTCATTTGAATTTGTAATGGATATATATGTATCTAACTCGTGTGGTTATTTGTTGTGTTAGCTGGAGAAAAACGATTGGAGAAGTTCGATCGTCAAGTTGAGAAATTTAAAAAGATGGACGTTGATAGAAATATTTCTTGTGATAACTGGGTGGATCAAAATCAAATTTGTTGGAGCTTAGCACATGATAACTATAATGGTGGGCGTCGATGGTCTATCCTGACATCTAACATGGCAAAGAGCATCAATGGTTTTAAAGGTATTCGTTCACTTCCTATAGCTTCTCTTGTGCAACATTCTTATTGGCGATTATTGGAGAAATTCGAAAAGATGAGGTTGGAGACAGAAGCAGAAATAAGAAATTGCCATTCACAGTTACCAAACCATGCGAAGAACCAATGAACCCGTGGGCACAAAAGGCAGTTGGACATTCCATGATGGGGTTGATCGACGTCAGGGCATCTATGTAGTTCAGACTCCTCTCAGCAATTTCAACATGACGGGTTCGAACACACTCACAGTGCACTTCGAATATGATAAGGTCGATCACCAGCATATAGTGCACAAAACTTATATTAATTCAATTTCATTGTGTAATTCTAATTTCAGTTCACCTAATAATTCAAATCGAAACTTATGGTAATTTCAAAAATTTCATACGTAATTCTATTCTAATTTCAGTTCAGTTCATCTAGTATGAATCTATAATAGTCTAATCGAACTAGCTAATGAACTTTAATGAAGCAGTTGTTATGAAATACTTACCTCGTTTGCCCAAACTGAGTCG